CCATCATTCAAAGAGTAAAACGTAAACTGACCCACGACCGTCACAGTAGATTCTGCAGACAGAACTTGGAAAGTTGATGGAGGTTTACCTGCGTGCTGTGCTGATGAGATGCATGCAGCAGTGAGTCTGATGGTGGAGGTCAGTCTGTTATAGAGCTATGGAGTGAACTCTGTTCCCACCTGTATGTGTGGCCTGTAGCTCCGCCCCCTGAAAACAGCTCACGATGATCTTTGGTCGTCTCTGTAGCTGTCAGCGGTTCTAAAATGATCACTGCTCTAAAACAAACATACATGCACTACAAACTCGATCCTGCAGGGCCTGAAACACTGAAAGTGACATGTTAGATGCTGATGGCTGAGCTGCAGCTGCAGGTGGAGCACAAAGAGCTGCAGGTAATAACAGCAGACACAGAGGAGCATCAGTGACGCTGCTCACGTCAAACAGCAAAGGCCTCCTCCTGTGCTCTTCATTCCTCAGTACAACTTTGTTCACTTTGTGATGAAGAGCAGCTTCATCAAAGTGAACAAAGTTGGAACTTTTGTGTTAGACTGAATTTATTCTTCACCAACATAAAGGTGTAGACCAGCATGCTGCACTCAGCCAATGATTAACAATTAATCACTGCAGTAAAACCAGGTTTTACAGCCATCTGTGTAAAGGCCATTTAGATACTTATCATAGCTTTTAGTGTGTCAGACCAACATCTATATGACAGCTGTATCACAGACTAACAGCACCACAAGCAGGGCAGAAGCATATTTACACAGAGCAGCCAACAACGCTGAGTGCAGGGAGTTTGAGTAAATATGAATGACCTGTCCATAAATAAGTCACGTCCACTCTGAGGCTGGACGATACAGAGTGTCTCCTCCGTCTATGGCTGACCAACAAGGACACATTTAATGATTTACATTTGATTCAGTTTGATTTCACGAGCTGAGACCACAAACTCGTTTAGATTTGACCGTCACTGATAGAGAAACAGGAATTGAGAAACAGTTTGGTGAAGACCATCACTCCTCATGGCCAGACAGGTGTCAGGTCAGACCTGCTGTTTACCTGCCAGACAATCACCTGATCTTCCTCAGCTTTGCTGCAACATCTTCCTCCTTCTACCAGATTCTGCTGCGTTACCTCTTTGTGTTACTACAGAGTCGATATTCGGTTGCACAGCATCGCCGTTTTAACGCAGCTTCGTGTGGTTGTGGTTACACCTGTTCAGGCATGTGAAGATTATATGTCACACTGATCAATTTTTACTGTACTCTTGACGTTATGGTGGCAAGATTATATAATAGCAGTGGCCACGATAATTACATCCAGCTGTGTTAAGAACATTGGTGTAACTTTGTGCTGCACATTTGTGGGGGGGGGGGGTCAAGATCTCTGTCTAAATAAATAAGTAAATTTGGGTAAATTCCCAGATGATTAAACATGCATCTATTTTGCTGGTAATACCTGAAACGAGTAAAGAAGATCAACAGCCTAATTATGCGAGATAATTCATTATTTTATTGGGGGGGTTATATTGGTTGGGTCTGATTATTGGGGGGGTCATAACCCCCCCAAACCCCCCGGAAAGAAGTAAACGACCGTTCCACTGTTTAATTAAACAGTTTTGCCACCATGTGCTATTTAAGGTCTACAGTGACCTCTTGTGGACACTGTGAGTTATTGCTGGTGCCAAGAACGTGACGCTGTTGTGACTGTTTCTATGGTGATCTATGACTTCATTGACTCCTACAAAGACTTTAGGATCATCATGCCTCCTGATGATGTTCAGGAAGGATCTGAACACCTCAGTGCAGGGATCAGAGTATCAGAGGCCTCGGCATCATCCTCTCTGATCAGCCCAGAAACAACAGAGTCAATCCCAGTTTTGAAATCCATCCATCTTCCGGGAATCTGTACACTCGAGTTTCAGCTGACGAGTACCTGCTGAAAAAGTCTTTTGTGTCTCAGAGACGACAGCGGTGTCAGTGCTGAGGTAAGAACGAGAGAGTTCAGTACAAAATCAGAGAGCTGCGTTCTCATCTGTTCACTTGTATCTGTGTGTGATCAATATTTGGATTTCCTCAAGTAAAAATATTCACACTTAAGTTTAAATGTCTTCAATATCATATCTATTTATATATAATCGACCATTAAAAAGCATCTCCTGTATAACCGGTGCAGGTCGTGGACTCCTGCATTGAGTTTATTTCAGCCCCAGAGGTTGGCACTCCGACTCTGTATGGGCTCATGCTGCTGCTGGGGAGGTCAGAGCGTCGCGACACGAGGAAGCTGATGGCTTCACACTCAGTCATGAACTGTCCAAAGAGAGTTTCTTTGGCTCTCAGAGCAGGCGGATGCATCTTTCCCCTCTCCCTCCCTTATCTTCCCCGCTGCTGCTTCTATGTGTTCGTCTAGTCTCGTCTAACTCTAACCCTCAGAGAGTTTCTCAGTCTTGTTCTCTAAAAACTAAAGAATTATGGATTTGATCAACTGGTCCCGTTACAGAATTGACACCCTGCTGGGCTTGGGAGAGCCCGATTGTCCTGCGGAGACGTTTGCTGCCGGATACTCGATGGTCGGTTGCGTCGTGTGCCTGGTGACACTCTCGGTGGAGGACATTGAACAACATCTACCAATTTGGAACCACGATAACAGAGTTCTGGCTGATCAGAGCTGGCTCGGACCCGGCTTATCGAAGAACAAGAAGCGGCGACAGCTGTTTGAAATCCCACAAGGCTGCCCGACATGATCGACGATTGGCTGTGAGTACTCAGACTGTGTTTTGAACCCCATATGGATCTTGGAGAAGGAAAATTGAGATATTGAGATAACTGGTGACCAGTGACGGACATTAGACCAACTGTAGAAATTGGATGCAGTCCCCAATGTGATGTTTGTGTATTGTATGTACGGTTGGCGAGGTCAGTCATCTCGGTTGTGGGATGTATAAAGTCTATCTCATCATCTCATCATCAAAAACAGAAGCTGTGTATGAGAATAAAGTTTCATGGAAACTTAAAGGTTTCATCGACCTGTGACAGACTCGTGCTCATGGATGGAAACACTGACTGCAGCTGATGATTGAAGTCAAATTAAACGTTATAACACCAAAACTCAACATAGCTGCTGTGTTCTCACGTGGGCTCAGACACCTGCATGTACTCCTCTTCATCAGTCCTGTGCTGCTATGACCAGCAGGTGGAGTTATATTACTGAATAGTCATCAAATGTTTTAGTCAAATATTTTGCAGCATTAATAAGAAATGTAATTAAATGCTTTATAAATATAATGTCATCTGCTAAATGCTTCATTGTTATTTATTTAAATGTTTATTTAAATTAAATTAAATCTGTTGGTTAAAAATGCAAAACTAAGGTATGATTATTTCGATATTTCATTTCCTTTAGTAAAAGTTAAAGACTTCTAGCTTTTGGCTTTATA